TATATATATGTGTGTGTGTGTGTGTGTGTGTGTGTGTGTGTGTGTGTAATTTTAGGAGATTAATCATTAGGAAAGTATTTGTGTAAAATCCTCTCACAGTGCATACTGATAATCAAACTGTCTCTTTATGAAAAAGCCTCCTGCTTTGATTTAGTCAGGGTCTAAGTCAAGGCATGAGGTATTTTGTACAGGGCTGCAGGTAATGATCATAGTCTTAGAGAGCTTAACTTAGGAAAGTAATGTACTGAATTTTGCTGTTCCCCTTTAGACCACTTCAGCATCCCAGCATGAAGGGCGGGAGGAATGATGAGTGTGAAGGATTTACAACGGCCTCAGTTACTCACTTGTATCATTAGAGATTTCATTTTCTTGGCAGGGGCTGCATTCAAAACAGCAGACTGCCATTCCCTCCTGCCAGAATTTTCTGAATCCAGGACCACAATCAGCACTGCACACAGAGGGTGGCATCTGGGGAAAATTAGACATATGGAGATATCAGAAGATTTATCTGCCACTCTCATAGCTATATTATATAGCATGTTTAGATAGTAATGAGGTAATTCTATATATATCAACTGCATGACTACACTACAAAAAGTACAGTTTTAAAATGAATTAAAGAGGCTTAAAAATTCTCCTTTTCTACTATCTGTGAAGCATTTTATCAATTGGTAATGTGCTGTGTTGTCCCTAATCAGGGCTTTATGTAAACTCCAGGACAGAAAGCAAATAGCAGTGTTCCTTCAGGGTCTGTGCTTTAGCTACAGTGTACAGATTCTTGCCTTATTTTCCATTGACTGTAACCCATCAGCCATATTGACAAATACTCCTCAATTAACTTATGGTCAGTGATTGATCACAGCAACTGAATAGCAAATTAGGAAGAATCCACATATGAAACTCTGGAAATATCTCCTAAAATCTCAGGCAACACATATGAACTCCAATAAAATAATACTGCAAGGCATGTAACACAGAGTAGGAGGAGCAAAGAGCTGAACAGGCAGATCCCACTGTATTTTGTGGTGAGGAAGTGATGACTTGATCTTTAGAGACCTGTAAAGTGGAGTGTTTCCAATATAAAAAATTTTACACAGAATAGAAATGCACGGGAACCAGAATAAAAGCTAGATTGTTGAAATTCAATTGAAGGATATTGGTTCATTATATGACAAATTACTACATTAAATTACAAGGAATCACAAATGGTCCCAGTTGCCAGTCTTGCTGCCATGTGATGGAAATCAGGATGATTTGGTCAGACCCACCTGTCTGTTTCCTGTGGCCCACTCTATCATGTCTTCATAAACATGGAGCTGTTGACCATGTGCAAGATATGGGCTATATTTTGCTATCTTCACCTTAAATCTAACACCTTGTGGCAAATTCCAAATCAGGAAAATGTCATACTCCTCCTGAAATTTTTCTTTTTGGTTCAAATTTACTCTGCCCCCAACAGGATTCATGAAGTGTGTCTTCTTCAGAAATGAGTTCAGCTGAAAGACAGGAAACATCTAGCATGTATGTGCCCTTCCTTAAACCAAAAATCATTCTGATTTTATATTAAAGGCAACATTATTGAAGATACTCAGAGGTGAAATCTCATTGAAATCAAATGAATAAATAAGATTATCATCATGTTCCTAAAATTTAAGTCCCTTCAGAAGAAACTACTAAACACAAACAAATATATATGCGCACAAACCAAAAAAAATATGTGTCT